ATGCAGGACACCTGAGAGAAGTTTGCTGCCCTAAATGCTTCAAATACATCTCAGAGACAAAATGTCTTCTATTTACTGCTTCTTGAATCTGTGCACCAAATTCTAGTACAGAAACTAAAGGATGTTGGCACAAAAATATTTTTACCAGTTTCTGCCAAAGCAGTCTGGGCCAGTCAAACCTGTTTCCTTAGCTGTGTCAGAAGTCGTAGAGATCTGCTCCAACTGCCAAAAGGTTGTAGTATTTCTGCTCATCTTGAATTGTCCAATGAAGAAGTAAAGCATTGAGTTCCAACAACAACTATGCAAGCATAACTGACATGCATCCAACATTGGCCACAGCAATGCATTTTACCCACAAGTGTATCAGTTTCCTTTTGTTGTGACTGTGTCCAGCATAGCTCAGAACACAGTACCTCAATCAGCCTCTACAGCAAGTTATAGCATAACAGTTTCTACTTTCTACAATGAATTCAAGCAAACTGGCCCTGAGTCTTACATACTAGACAGCATAAGAGGTGCCCTGTCAGTCTGAATGGTTTGAAACAGAATGACAATTCTTTAAAGAAGTCACCACATTGTTGGACAACTAATTTATTAATCTGACCAGAGGCACAACAAAAACAGTTAGGAACCTGATTAGTTGTATTAGGTGGAGCATCGATATCACCAGTAAAATATCTCTCAAACCAAATGTTCTGAACGGCTTCCCATGCCAATGCACATAATCAGTGTGCATTCTTAATCAATGATACATAATAAAACCTGAAATATAAACAAAGCTTGTACAATTAAGCAACAGGTGGCACTTAACACTGCATACCCTGCAATCGGTATGCAGTGTATCACAGTCAAATGAAAAAAGATTGGCACTGCCAATTGAGCATTCAACGACATTTACAAATCAAGCTTCCTCTTCACCTTAAGGATTTTCTGTCTATGAACTTTTTATTCATCAGAATCCTGAAAAGAATTCAAAGCTTTCCACAATTTGCTGTATGCAAATTATGTGAATATGCTTGTGTGAGACTGAGGAATAAAGGCTGGTGAAAATTAAGCTGTGCAATAACATAAATTTAAAAACATTTTGAAATATAATAAAATAGAAATGTTTGATATCTGTTTATACTGCATATTTTGATCAATTAAACATCGTTTCTGAGTCCCACGCTGTAAAGCATTTTCACAAAAAAAAGTCCTATAACTACTTTCCAACACCTTCTCCATATTTACTCGCCCCTACCCTTTTTAGAATTTTTAAAGACTCATATTTGTACATTAGGTGAAGTTTATTTATAAACTAATTTTGAGAACAGCAAATGCTTATGATTGATCACAGCTGGTCCCACATTAGCTAAGGCATAACTTACCAATCAGACAATTCCTAACTCACTATAAAAAAACAGAGTTTCCTATTTCAGTCATTGCCTTGAATAATCCCCCTTCCACCCCTACTCCTCCTTTCCCTTTATAGGGCGGCATGGTGGCCCAGTTGATAGCACTGTTGCCTCACAGCTAGAACGTCACTGGTTCAAGTGCTTAACAGACCAGTTGATGTTTCTGTGCGGATGTTCTCCATGGTGCTCGCGTGGGTTTCCCCTGGGTTCTCTAGTTTCCTCTAACCATCCAAAGACATGCATCATAAGTGAATTGACAAATCTAAACTGACACTATAGTTAAGCTCTTAACCAGCAGTATATCTCTATATAGCAATTACTAATTTGTCAGTAGCCATAAATAAGGGGGGTGTTCTCGAGGCCTACTTGAGCTCGAACACCCCTCTTGCCCTGCAAATGGGAGGGAGCCCCGGGCTCGAGGATCTTATGAGCTTAGGGCTCTCTCCCATGACAGCATGCCAAACTTAGCTAGGCGTGAACTCTTGAAAATGTTTTGAAAATTTCACTTATTCTATAAAAGTGAAGAGCACGCAAATTGCACAAAAAATACAAGCAAAGTACAATCTTATTCATGCTGAATTATGAAACACAATTTACTGGTGGGGTGAAGGGGGATTAAATTGTTCCTAATTTAATTTAAAGGTCTTACCTATACATTTATGCCTCTTTTAGAAGATGCATAGTACATGAGACAAAATAAGCACAATTCACCCAAACATCCTGTTTAAAAGTTTGCAGACTAAAGTTTCAATGAAGAAAATTACTTTAAAGTTGTCATATGTACAGGGCACTATCAGTGACATATTCTTTAAATTACAGCTTAATTAGACTATTAATTCAGTGTTTGAGTCAGATGGAGACAGATTTAGAGTTAATTTCAGCCATTCAAGGAATGAGACAGAAAGGCTAAGAGAGAAGCAGCGATCACAATCAAGCTGATTGGAACTCATTACTCAGTGACCTACAGTATACAGCTTCAAACAAACTAAAAAAGTTATAAAACACACTTCCAAAAAGTCCTAATGAAATGAAATGGCCTTTACTCTGGAACATTGTACAGCTCCTGCTCTTCAAACATGAAATCTCTTCACGATGAAAAAGGTACACTTTAAATTAACCAATAAAAGCAGCATGAAATAAACTGATTACTTCTGATCCATTAAACATTGCTGACTGCTAATCACACAGAGATTTATCAAATTAGTGGAAGAGACAAAAGAGAGAATGAGAGGAAGACCTTAAAGAGATAGACCTCTTAATGCAGACCAGAGAGATAAAATTATTCATCAATAATTCATCAGTGATTGTCCTAGAGGAAGAGAGAGATCAAGGAGAGATGCAGAGTGACAGCACTACTTCCCTACAGATGATTTGAACAGCCCCTTCACATGCATTCTCTCATTCTCTCTCAAAGCAACTGTTCCAATGTTCTCAGCTGCTATAGAACTACTTTAAGAACCCACTGCATTTAAAAAGCTTCGTAAACACAGTCCAAAATAAATATTCGCCAACACTCTCAGTAAAAGTGGGCTTTGTTGAATAAATAAAACTACTGAGTTACTCTTCAGCTGGCTGGAAACTTTATTAGGAACTACAATTGTGCTACACCAGGGGTCTCAAACTCAATTTACCTGGGGGCTGCAGGAGGCAAAGTCTGGGTGAGGCTGGGCCGCATAAGGGATTTCACAAAAAAAAGTCCTCAAATGTCATTATTAACAGTTTTAATTATTTCTTCTGAACATGAAGTGTCCTGAACATTAATAGAATATTGAGTGAAGATTATGAACAGTTCTTCTGAACATGGCATCTTTTGCCTACTTCTTGCTGCCAGAGACTTGACAGCGCTTCTTCTCACAAATCTGAACCACATTTGGCTTTAGAGCGGAAGCAGTTGAGACCCTCAGTATGGCTTGAAGATGATCATCATTAAGTCTAGACCTGTACTTTGACTTATTGAAGTCCTAGGGAAAAAAGTGGGGGAACCCACTCAAAACTTCCATTCCCTCACCTAAAAAAAGGCGTATATATGTATAAATAAAACACCCCCACTCCACTCCAGTCACATCAGTCTGTACCAGTCTGTATCTACCTATAATATCAACAGGGCAGGCACGTGCACACATAGGGCTCAACCTGTGCAGAGCACATGCCCTTTTTAGTCTTGCATAGAAAGTGCCCTTCCAAAATGATCAAAAGTGCTCCCGCGACGCGACACACCCTCGGTCCCGCCTTTCAGTAGGCGCGCGATAACACCGCTCTTGAGTATGCGCGCGACAACACAGCTGATCAGAACGCGCGCGACAACGCGCATTGAGTGACAAGCGCGCTGCGTACGTATAGAATCAGCGGAGCGGGGAGCGCTCTCTCTCCCCGCTCCACTGATTCTGTCAGAGTACAGCGGTTGGCGCGGGCCACAAAATATTGCACTGAGGGCCGCAAATGGCCCGTGGGCGGCGAGTTTGAGACCCCTGTGCTACACGGTTTAAGTGGTATTGTAAAATTATAGCCAGCCTAACACTAATAGTCTATATATCCTTTTGTGACATGTGCATCACTCAATAGAACAATTATCTTGCATGTTTGTCTAGAATTATATATATATATATATATATATTTTTTTTTTTTTTTTTTTTTTGTCTCCATGAATGCATGTGGCAGAATATGAAAAAAGATTTTTTTACATAAAGTTTGTTAAATATAACAAACGATTCATCTGAATTGCCTGTCAAAAATGTGTTAAAATATGTAAAAACATTGTGTCATCAGCATATACATAAAATATAAATTTAAATAAATTAAGAATTTAATCAAAACATACAAAAAAGCCAAATCCTGAGAGATGATAATAAAGGGGTCTCTTATTTTTAACAGAGTTGTATTCAATCCAAAAAAGGCAGTGCCTTTAGAAGAAGTCTTAATTATCATTTAGGTCATTTATGTTATCTGTGCATTTCAATGCAAGACTGATATGAAGAAATTGTTTCCAGCACTAAAAGGGACAACCTCGAGTAGAAAAGGAAGAGATCAAGCAAGCCAACTTTTCATTACTATGCCGGGGCTGTAAAGGAATAGTTCACACAACTATGTCATTATAGAAATATAAGTCATTTTACTCTACTGAGGTCATATCAGGTCATTTTGCGGACAAATTGTTCCTTTGAGTCAGTCCTTTTCCATGATTGATCTGAGTGACTGTGAGTTTCTCAAATGAAACTGAATGATTCGTTCACAAATTGGACTGATTCGCTTCAAAACTTGAGGATTCACAGCAGTTATCTGCCCACTGGAGGGGAAGAGCTGTGACTTAAATTTGGAACTGTTCCTCACACAAAGGATACAAAATATACTGTAATAGGCCTGCAAAAGACTTGGACAATAGTGTAACTAAGTCGAACAAACCACTTTTGAAGTGAGCTTTTAATGATGTGTTGTAAACAGCATCTTAAAAATGTAAAATATTAGACTTCTTGCTTTAAAGAAAACAATGAATGCTTAAAAGAAGAATTGATCGATTTAAAAATAATGCCAGAATGCATTTTTTAAATAAACTATTTCTTTAGCTGCAATAGAGCATACAGTATCTGACACTTTCTCCCAAGAACTTACCTCCCAGGGTCATTCCAACCTCAAAACACTTCTTCAGACGGCAGGATGGGCAGTTCTTCCTCCTCAGTTTGTCTATGGTGCAGTCATTCCTGCTAGCGCACAGATACTTCTGCTTCCCTATAGGAGAAGAAACAGACAGTCTTCAGAAGTTTTAACTTAGTTTGAGTCAGTCTGCAGCCAAAGTAAAGCTCCAGAAAGGACAGAGCTGGAAGCATCACATTTATACTGAGATAAAACATAGATCAGAATAAAAATAGAGCACACACACACACAATACTCCAATTAGAGGGAGTTGTTAATGTGACAAGCCAGTCTGATAGGTCACAGCCCTCACTCTGGGCACCCGAGGACAGCCAAATGAAAAGTGCACAGTGAGATTTGAAAAGAGGTTCTGCAGTGTGTGTGTGAGTGTGTGTGTGTGTGTGTGTGTGTGTGTGTGTGTGTGTGTGTGTGTGTGTGTGCGCGAGAGAGAGAGAGTGTGTGTGTGTGTGTGTGTGTGTGTGTATGTCTTAATCAGGAAAACAGAGCCACTGCTGAAGTAACATACACAACCGCAGTCAGCTCTGACATAAAATAACAGTGAGATGTAACAGATATTCATGGCTAGATCTGCGTACTATACGATCACAAAAGGCCCTGAATATAAAGCAGCATAGGGCTGGGCTATATGACAAAAAATCTCATATCACTATAGAAATCATCTCATATTCTGATAATAATATACACTAGCGGTCAAGTTTTTATGATTCTATTTAATAGTTAAAAAATTATTCCTTTTATCAAGACGCCATTTATTAAATTTAAAAACATTGTTAAATTGTATAATACTTATTTAATAAATATGTATTTATTCCTTATTGAATATAGTTTCAAATGAAATTACTACTTCAGTCATTATTGCTTTTATTACTACAATAATAATAATCATGATGATGATAATAATAATAATTATTATTATTATTAATATTAGATTGGTTTTTGAAGGTTCATGTGACTCTGAAGACTGGAGTAATTAAGCTGAAAATCCATCTTTAAAATCAGTGGAATTAGTGATTAAATTTAATGATAAAACTAATTTTGAGTCTTTATTTCATAGTGCATAACATTTCACAATTATACTATGTGTACTGTATTTCTGATTAAATAAATGCAGCCTTGGTGAGCAGGAGAAGCTTATTTTAAAACATTTAAAAATCCTACTGACCCCAAACTACTCATTCATTGGTGATCATATTTTCAATTGATAGGGGCATCAAAATTAATTGTTTCCTCAAGTGCGAGTATTTACAACGCTCCAACTACTTAAAAATGCAGAAACTGTGCACAATTCCACTGCGTGTGCATTTCCTGGACAGTCTTTTAATGACACTTACAGCAGATGCCCCTATTTCACTGCGATTGAGAGAATGAAAGTAAACTCTATTGCTCTCTCTCTCTCTCACTGTGGCCCATTTGACCTGCTGGCTTGATGTTTCCTCTCCTCTCGGCTGTTACACTGATACGTCTGGATACAGACACGAGCGCGTGTCTGCAGAGTTTTCTCCACCGTGTCAACAATGGATGAGCTGTGATCGCCGCTGCCGTTTTTCAATGTCACTCATCTGTGAAGAGCGCCAGCGCATAAGAGCCAATAACAGCACTTTCTGTTGAGCATGAGACCAATCATAGGGGTGTAAGAAAGAATTTACTAGACAAGCGAGTGGGATATTTATTATTAGTTTTTTTTACTATAAATGCTCGTGTTGTTTAAAAGGTACAGTTTATATATCAGAATTTTTGTATTAAAGGACAAAATTGTAATACAAATAGTATATTAATATATTTATATATTTTAATAAAAGAATTGCTGTGCTGTGAAATGAATATATAAAACGGTGTATGGTAAGCATCGTCAATGCACCATGATATTGAATTGAACTGAACTGATGGCATGATAATCGAAATCGAACCAAACCTTGAGACCAGTGTAGTTTCACACCTCTATTTATTTAGTACTACTGAGAAAGTGTATATTTAAATTTTTTAAATCTAAAAAAACAAAATAATATTAATGAATTATATAAAACTTTTTAAAAAGCAAACGATTATATTTCCAGCATAAAAATAAAAAAATATGCCTAAATAAACAGCTACATGTAATCATTGTACATTCAAAATTGCAACCTTCTCATGTTGCTGTTATTCATGTTTCTGTCTGAATCACCATAATGGCGTGTAATATTGCCCTTATATACATATTATGAAAATGTATTACTGTAAACAATGTCTTTTGTGACACCACGAGAGTAAAATATGAAAGAATAAGCTTTATATTTTGTCATATTGCACAGCCCTAAGGCAGCCATAAATCCTAATCATAAAAACAAATCAAGCACAAAATCAATGCAATTCACTTCACTGCATAATTTTTCTTTATTTTTTTCTTCTTTTCTTTAATTTTTTTGCATGGGATAAAAACAATAAGATGGTTCTAAAATACTACATAAGACACAGTAGTTTGTCTTGTACAGATTGTACACAGTAGCAAACAACTGGACAAAATGTAATCAGATTTTGCAAGCAAGATCTTGTCTTTTTACAAAGCAGATGAGTGTGGTTTGTAAATGCTTTTTATTTGAACCCAGGAAACCTGTTTGGAAACAGTGTTATGTAATCGGTGATGTGGAGTTGTGCAAGAATTACACATCAAGCTAGAAAGTCATCGCAAAACTTACAGATCTATCCATAATTATTCATAAAGGACAGTAAGGAGGCAAGAACGAGACTTCTCTCAACTCTCATCTCTCTCTCCCTCTCTCTGTCTCTATAAACAATTGCAGAATCAGTATACTAGTGTGGTATTTCAGTATTTGATTAAACTGAAGTTCGTTGTTGGCTGTGGGGCAAGACCTTTTAACACCTCTTAACTTTGATAAATTGTTTTGTTCCCCAATCTGTTTGGGTGTGCGAAGCAAAAAGGGTGTCTGTTTTAAAAAAAAGTGTGTGTTATGCTGTTTCAATGCAACTTAGATCAATTTGTATGTTTATAAAGCACAAATATTATTATACTTATTATTATCCCCCTTTGAATTTGTATTTCTTTTTTAAATATTTCCCAAGTGATGTTTAACAGAGCAATAAAATTTTCACAGTATGTCTGATAATATTTTTTCTTCAGGAGAAAGTCTTATTTGTCTTATTTTGGCTAGAATAAAATAAGTTTTAATTTTTAAAAATAAAAATTATTTTTTTTAATTATTAGCCACTTTAAGCTATATTTTTTTCAGTAGTCTACAGAACAAACCATCGTTATACAATAACTTGCCTTATACGTTATACAATAACTATACAATAACTACCCTGACCTGCCTAGTTAACCTAATTAACCTAGTTAAGCTTTTAAATGTCACTTTAAACTGTATAAAAGTGTCATGAAAAATATCTAGTTAAATATTATTTACTGTCATCATGGTGGTCTAAGATAAAAAGTGTGTATGGATGTTTCACAGAGTTGGGTTGTGGCTGGAAGGCCAGCCACTGCATAAAATATGTGCTGATAAGTTGGCGGCTCAGTCCGCTGTGGCGACCCCTGATGAATAAATGGAATAAGACCAAAGGAAAATGGATAAATGAATGTTCAAAGATAAAATAAATCAGTTATTAGAAATGAGTTATTAAACTATTATGTTTAGAAATATGTTAAATAAATCTTCTCTCTGTTAAACAGAAATTGGGGGTCTAATAATTCAGGGGCTAATATTTCTGAATTCAACTGTATGTGAATTTATTTACACATAGTAGATTTATTTCCTCCAGACATGTTATTCCAAATTGATATGACACACAATTGGTACACTGTCTTTCAAAACTTTAAGGTTGGTTAAAGAATAGTCTTAAATTAATCAAAGCTACTGTTAGCTGTCGAACTGTGTATAATTTTAAAAAACAGTTTTCTACAGAACACTTTGATATTTATTAAATTTAATAATTGTTTTATATTAATATTTAAAGTTGCAGTCCAGCTTGTAAATTTTTCTTAATGAGTGTTCTTCAGTGTTCTGTTCAGTTCCAAAACTCAAGACCGCAAGAACGGAGGACATGTGAAAGTTCCCAGACATGTTCTAGATATCGGAGATGCATCGACGCTGACTTGAGGGCAAAATTAGCTTGAGAAGTCCCAGAAGTCATTGAGGCTGAGTAAAGGAGGTGGGAGGCGCAGCATCTTACATAGATTTATTATTAAAGTTCATAAACATGACTTATTTGTCTCAGGAGTTTTCCTAAATGAAACGATGAAAGTTAACATTACCATGAATATCTTAATAAAGGCATAAACACATTAGGGTGTGCATTTGCTGAAATTTGTCTAAAAACTTGTTTTATTTGTATTGTGCAACGCATGTTTGTAAGGTCTTTATGCATAGTATATACTGTGAAAAGGAGAAAAACAATAAATCATTGTATGAATGCGGTAATGTTTAAATAGTTTTCGTTAAAAACATGAGATGGTCATGTGACCATGAGGAAGAACGCAGCATCTCATTTCTCACAGGATGCGTTTTCAGTTCTTGCAGTCTCTCAAGTTTGTTCTTCCGATGTAACTTGGCAAGACCGGTCTCCACAAGAACACGAGTCCATTCTCAGTGTTCTTAGAATTGAGAAACAGCCTATGTTTTCTAACTTAAGTCGTATTAATAGGCAGGAAATATGAGCTTGCCACCATTTGTCTTTGTGTCATTAATTCATCTGTAATTTGAGAACAAATTATGACACTAATAGTTGATGTGATATGAGCTAAGCGATCATTAGACTTCATCACACTGGTAGTGCGATGTACATATCTATTAAAGATACATCTGTCCAAAGCGACAAATTCTTATTTGGGTCATGCAGTACTACGAAGATGTAGAATCTGTGGTTGTGATGTGGAGTATTTACACTGGTGCGGTGACTGACAGCCAGACAAACTCCACCAAACATTAAATTCATCCACTTTGAAGAGCCGAGTCAACGCACAAGCCACGTAAAGATGATGTACTCCGCTTTTAACTGCTGTTGCAGGTGTCAAGCGGAAATGTAGACAAAGAGGCAAAACTTGTGGATTGCAGCTTTTGATAAATATTTTATTTGATAAAATATTTATTCCTTTAATGGCCAAACAGAATTTTCAGCATCATTCCTGGAGTCTTTAGTTTCACATGATCTGTCACTCTGTGCTCAAGAAACATTCATTTAATCATTTTCCTTCGGCTTAGTGCCTGCTCAGAAAACATTTATTTTTATTATACTGAAGTTTTATAGTGATTAATGCCAACACAAACTAACAGCAACCACAGTCACACAATGTTTATGTTGTTGACTAATAATTTGAAAACAAATTATAACACTAATAGTTGTTGTGATATGATATATGGTATGATGTCATTCCTCCAGTTTTTAGTTTCACATGATCTGTCACTTTGTCCTCAAGAAACATTCATTCATTTTCCTTTGGCCCCTACTACTGCATTTACTTTATCATCAACCTTACAGTTGTGTTACTTCATATTTTTATGGAATCTGTGTTGCATTATTTAGGATTTTGTTATTACAGTAAATAAAAAAAGTTAGGTTAAGGTTTTGTAAGGTATTCACATCAGTTTCTGTCCAATTAATGAATCTTTGTTAAAATATAATTATTATTGTTTTTCAACTTTATTTTATTATTTATTTATTAATTCATTTTCTTCTCAGTATTAGGAAACACCCATACACACACATTTTCTCAAACACTCAAACAATGCTCCAAATTTATTTTCTCCAATTCACGTATAGTGCATGTCTTTGGACTGTGCGGGAAAACAGGACACCTGGAGGAAACCCACGTGAATTCCATACAGAAATGCCAACTGACTCAGCTGAGATTTAAACCAACGACCTTCTTACTGTGAGGCGACAGTGCTAACCACTGAGCCACCATGTCACCCTTTATGTTTCTTCATTCATTCATTTTCTTTTCAACCAAGTCCCTTTATTAATCTGGGGTCGCCACAGCGGATAAACCACCAACCATCACTGGGAAACATCCATACACACTCATTCACACACATACACTATATGGACAATTTAGCTTATTTAAATGACTTATTCCACATGTCTTGAGGGGAAATCGGAGCACTCAAAGAAAACCAACGCGAACACCAGGAGAACATGCAAACTCAACACAGAAACACCAATTGACCCAGCTGAGCTTTTATATATATAAATTATTTAATTATTATTATTATTATTATTATTATTATTATTATTAAACACACAGTCATAATATAACTCGTAATATATAATAAATAAATACTTTTAATTGTATGCACTTCAGAACATAAATGGAAGCAGAATTTCTAAGTTTCTTTATACCTTGAAAGTGAATTGAGCTCATAACTGTCCCTGTGCTGGCCATCATCATTGTTAAACATTCTCCTTACAATCTCTTTTTGTGTTCAAGAAAGAAAGTCATACTGGGTTGAAACTGAAAAAAAGTAATACGGCAAGAGACTTGCATAAATCTATGGTGATCTCACTTTAAGCTAGATGTTTGTGTCTAACTGATTACGTTTTTAAAATGTATGCCTTTACACAACTTACAACCAAGGCCGTACTTTCTAGGGTTTCAGGTATTAGATTTCAACAGCAAATCCTTCTTTTGGATTAAATAATGGAGAAGGAATGTGTCCCAAATTTTTGTCAAGATGCCAGTGGTGGAGAGCAAATAAGTATTTTTAATTCACTGTTGTATTAAACTGAAGTATATATTTTTATTTTAGGAAACTTTCACTTACTATATTCCAAACAGAAAATACATTACATATCCACCCATCCCCCACCTTTATACTTTTGTACTTTGAATCAAGTAAAACAGAGTGAGGACTTTATACTTTTACTGGAGTAATATTTTATTAGTGTATGTGCACTTTAACTCAAGCACCAACACAAGATGCAAAGTGTTGCCTTCTTTCTCTCTTTGACTGAATGCCTGTGTGTGAAGTGCCAACTATTCTCATTTAAATCGAAATCATGAAAAACAATAAAAGCTGCACTGGACACATGGTCAAACGTATATTAATTCACAAAAAGGCTATGGCAGCTTTTAATGCAGCTTTAATGACAGTTTATAGCTGTTATTAAAAATTCTAATTAAAGCACATACACTCCTCACATTTGGTGAATATATTTAGCCACTAATACAATCCAAAAGGCCGACTTCAGTTATAATAGGTGTGTTTATATTACCCTCAGCAGCTCTCTTAAAGAACACTTTGCAGCTTCCGCAAGTGAGGGCTCCGTAGTGACACCCAGATGCTTCATCAGAGCAGATTAGGCAGGTCCTTTGTGGAGGAAGGAAAAACTCCATTGGGAAAATGTCACTCCTCCCTCCGTCAAACCTAGAAAATAAAAACAACAGCATAAACTAATGGCATGACAAAACACTGGCATAAAAGTTCTGTTCTCTGTTATATCAGCAGAAGAAAACAAATATACTGCAAATGTGGAACTCGTTTTTTACATCGAAATGCCAATTGTGAGCAAAAATATGAAGTCCATTAGCAGTAATTTGAACGGAACACGCATAGCAGCTCTCGAGCACGGAAAATATACGAGTAATGGGTGCACACTGGTACGTAGAGACGATTGAACAGAATAAAAATAGTGTGGCCGGCAGCTAAAATTCTCAGAAGTTTTGCATCAATTGTCCGGTGTGTGGCTGCTAAATTGGAAATGTCATTTGCGGGTTCAGCACTCAGAGATAACAGGTGACATTCCCTGTGGAAATGCTCAATTGAAAGCTTGTGTGCGTCAGTGGTCAAATGACGGTGGTAAGTAGAGGTGACATTATCCTAATGCAAGTGCCAGGTCTCTAATGAAGGATAATAACTGCTTTATTCCTTAAGGAATGATGGAAAGATTCTGAGTTAAAGAGAGTCATTCAGGATCATTATTCTGTTCTGATGATGGAGCAAATTCTGTCACCACACACATAGCGGGGAAGGAAAAAGTGAGCAAAATGACAGAGATTAGGAGAAGGGCATATTTCTCATATTTTCTCGGCTGACAGAACAAGTGGTCAAACTTTGTACATTATAATACCTTTGTATAAAGGACAGAGTAAAATATATATGTATAAAAAGGCTTGTGACTGAGAGCTGAGGCGATGCATTACGTCCGTTCATACTTAAAAACCTATGAAATCTCATCGTCACCTTTGTTTTTCTCTCCATTTTCACCTCATTTTCCATTCACATTTGAGTGTTGAATGTTCAGGCCATTTTTAAACAAACAATCAGCGTGCCTGACAATAAAAGTAAGATTTGTGGAAAGGTGAACTATTGAAAAAACATCCATCTTAACAGCTTGACTACATATATACACACTGCAGGTTAACTCGGGTTTTCAATTTACCTTCAAGTGCTTAATCCTGTTCTGTACAACTACATTCAACAACCAAATTAACTCCTGAGAAATGCAGATAGCAACCAATCCATTCTACGCAATGCCTAAGGAACTAAACCATTGTCAGTTAATGCTATTCAAGCTGCAGAGTGTAATAAGTCCTTTGTCACTCTAATATTAACTTGATAAATGATAAATAATAAATACGCAAATGTCAGAGCAAAGCTGTTTACCACTGTGTCCCGTATTTAAATGCAGTTGTCACTTTAGAAACTTTACATTGTGCACATGACTTTGACAACATTCATTTTGTTTTACTTCACAGCTTGTTTTGTATTTATAATGTATAATACAGAAATTAATAACTAGGAACCTTAAAAGAAAAAGTTCTTTCAAAAATGTTACCATCATTTACTCTACTTTCAAACCAGTTTGATTTTTAATTTTTTTTTTTGTTAAACACAAGAGAAGATATTTCGAAGAATGTTGAAAACCTGCAACCATTGACATCAGGCTTGTAACATTTTTCCAAACAAGGTTATAGGATTGCAACATTTTTCAGTAGATCTTATATTGTGTAACTAGCAATTAATCAACATTCATTATAATTATGCGTGGATATCATCTATTCATTCATTCATTTTCTTTTCGGCTTAGTCCCTTTATTAATCTGGGGTCACCACAGCTGAATGAACTGCCAACTTATCCAGCATTTGTTACATGCAGCAGATGCCCTTCCAGCTTTAACCTATCACTGAGAAGGCAGGTTGGATATCATTTGGGGTTATTTCAATACAGATACTTTTAAAAACAATGCCTGAACCGTTAGTTTTGAGCCACAAAATTAGGGTGGATGAATCTAGAAAAATGTTTATTTGACAAAAATATAAATACATATATTAATCATTTTAATTGAATAATATAATTAAAGTTTAAAGTAAACATCAATTCGTATTTCATATATTAGAACAGAACTGCATTATATATCACATTAAATATATTTATTTTGATATTCTGTTGGTTAGCATGAATTTGAGATTTGCCTTATGCAATTAACATTACATTAGCTTACTGCTAAGCTGTGGAAAGGCTTTCATCAAAATCAGGGAACACCTTTTTTAGGGTTGGGTTCTCGGGATGCGCCACATTGCCTACATGCATGCATTCCCTAAGCAACAAGAACAAACACCTAATCTCTAACGGTGTCCGTATCTCTCAAAATTGTTTGGAATTAAATGTTTAGAGATGGTGTGACACAACAAATACTTATGTGTGCCTTTGATGCACCCCTTGATGCTTCTTACATCCTTGTCACAGCACCAGTGGCACGAAATTAGGCAAAATAAAATTCATATGCATATGTCCTGAGTATACTGGTGACATAGGTATCGGTGCCATAATGGGCTTCGGATTTCAGTACCCAACCCTAATTATAATTAAAGTAAAAAGAATTATAATTTGATTATACTATTAAGTATTTAATTTTCACAGACTCTAGAAGTGATCGTGTGAACCAGAGGTCAACAAACATTTTTACAGAAACAGAAAATGTAATGATGTACAATATATGTCAAATGTAAATATATTTCTCTCTAAATTGATGTTCTTTATCTTTAAAAAAAGTTCTATTAAAGTAGAACGAATAACAAACTTTCAATGTGACCCTACTGAACACCCCTGCATGGATGTGTGAATGTACTGATGTCACACATTAGTACCATTGTGATCCATGTGTGAAATGTTAAGAAGTCTGTATACTTCCAAGAAAATATTACATAACATTGAGGGTATTTTTGTTCTGATAGCTAAGAAAAACACATGCAGAATAAAATGCAAACTGTCATGCTCTTAATAGTCCAGCATGACTGAAGAAAATGAATTAAACTTCTACAAAAATGTGGCGCCTCATTGATTCGAGTCATTCACACAGTGATCATGTGAATGGTTTGCCAGAGCTATGCGCATCTGTTCACTAGCACAGATTTATTTTCACGCATTAATTCTATTTATAGCTCCTAAGAGAAAGAAACATGTGACTATGAGGAATATTAACCTCAAAAACCATGCATTTATGCAGGGTTAAGTTATTTATTAACTTCTACATATAGTTTATTAAGTTATACGTAAACAAACCACTGCATTTAATTGAACTTTACAATATAATCCATGCAAAAATGGTCTATGTATGAATGTAAGTCAGAGTATATTACATAACACCCCATTTTCAAATTGGTGCACTATATAGGAAAAAAAACTGACATTGCAATAATTATATGCGATAAATATTGCAATATTAGTATAATTCATGTTAATGTATTATAATAATGTAGATTATTTAAATAACTATTTTAAAAAGAATTCATAATTTTACATTGATTATGAGGATTTTGTAGGGAGTGTTTATTATGAAATATAATAAACAATTGACTAGCATTAATGAATACAACAGAACAAAGATACAAATGAAATGGACAGTGCTTTATGGTTTTCTAAAGTTTTCTATTACTCTGTTAAGGTTCAACTTTGCCTGTTTCCTGGTTAATTATAATCCCAACTCGGAATTGCAGATCGTGCAATGTGACATAGCATATTCACACATTGTGAAATCGGTTCTGAGAAAATATATTTTGCAGCCATTGTTAGGCATGGGACGATAAAGGTTTTCAAGGTATACCGCTGTTTGTAAAAGTCAAGGTTTTAAACCGACAAAATTTTTATTTAAGCTTTTTGTTTTAAATTTTTAGGACAACAGTATATCCAACAGAAAAGATATTAAAAGATCCAGTTTTAAATGTGTGCTTTTAAAAATAATAAAGACAGCAAAGGTCAATGATTTATTTGAATAATTTAGCCTGACGTGTTTACTGCATCAAAATATTTTAAATGTTTCTAAAAATAAAATATATTTTGTATATTTTTGTTCAAAGGGAAAAAGTTGTATTTTTTTACACAGACATTTAAAAAGAATATATTTTAAAGCAGTAATAACAATACCATGAAACCGTGATATTTTTATCCAAAGTTATCACACAGTCAAAATCTTCTACCGGCCCATGTTTACCTCTAGTTGAGATTAAGATAGAAACATAATTTCATGAACAAAAACAGCACCATCTGCAAACTCTAACAATCTTTAATACATTTGAAGATCGTCATCCATAAGTTTGATAATCTCACAACCATAAACAAGTAGTCTACCTGTTAGCTTATGTATTCGAGTACAAATAAAATAAAATATGAATGCACAAATAATATGACTTTTATTATTAAAAATAATTATTTTACATTATCAGTGTAATATATTTAATATATTAAAAACACAATTTGATTTGATCATAAATATCTCCCATTTCAGCCAGTCATGTTCCTGTTTGTGTTATTACAGTAAAATCATGATAATAGTTTGTGATGTGAATTTAAGAGTCTATTTAACTCCATCGTTGTTGCACAATATTTTAGCTGTTTTCCTTGTCAGTGTTCTGAAGAATGGCAGCCCTGTTTCATTTGGCATTAAACTAGTTTAATTTGTAGTTCGCATTCACTCTAGCTCTCGAAGTGCTGTCTTTTCTTTTGAAGCGAGCTGATGAATGGTCTATGCGGCACGCAGCATGCAGTTTAAGCAGGTAGCGCTCTTTCATTCTGCTTTTAGTGTGTTCGCCAATGTATCAGTCTGGAGCCATGAGTTAATAAGGTAATTATAAAAATTGCCGTTATGAATGTTACAAAAAAAATGCACATAAAAATCAATTCCAGGGGTCAGAAATTGTCCGCTTAATGGAAAAAGTTCATTTTCTGACCGTGATTATTGACCATGATAACTTAAAACAACACATACACACACAAACCCACAGAATAAATGAACACATCTGTAAAAATCCCAGTTTTTGGTGGTATTCCGTGCAGATTCCAGACGCTGATGCACATGGATCAAATCTGTCTAATTCTGAATGGGAGTTCTGGCATTCTTTGAAGGCAATTTGGTTGTTTTACTCAC